TTTAACCATTCATCCTATTTGAAAAGTCATTAAACGAATGAGAATTTTTCTCGCAATAGTTAAAATAAATAAAATTTATTCAAATAAAGATAAAAAATTGTTGAATGATAAGAATTTCCATAATCCCTCAATTTTTCACTCATATATTTCTAAATTGTATTTCTGATAAATTTTAAAAGCGAAAAGAGATGTAGCGGGAGAATAATGCAATTTTTTCTACTAATTTATAAAAAGTTGGAAGTTTGAAGAGAGTCATCTGAAATTACAAATGTCTCGAAAAGAACTGATCACTTTCTCCCATTCATTCAACCATTCTTATTACGCTAAAATACAATTCAAAGCGCGTATTGCAAACCACAAATCACAAAATCGAGATTTTGAAATTTGTGGAACAATGGATAAAACAAATAACGATCTGTCCCACTTTATTTGTTTTGTTTATATTTATGAATCACTTAATATCTTTGTGAAATACATTGTGTGTGTATGTATGTGTGTGTACTACCTGATATGATAGGTCCATTCTCTGATAACGATATTCATATATCATTTACTGATAATTAATTGTTTAAAGAATGCGCTTATAACGCATAATACCTTCTATTTTTTATACGCTGACAAATGATATCAAAATAGCATTTCACTTCAGAGAAAGAATGTAATCCTATTTAAGTACGTCCTAAATTATTCAACACAAATTTAAAAGAAAATTTTGAATGTCTTACTATTAAAACTATAAATAATAAAAAAAAATATGATTTAAATGGGATGAATGAATGAAAAGCATGTTTGTGAACCTCTTAAATCGTTAAGCAGAAAAGTTGAAAATAGAAAATTAATTACGTGGATGTTTAAAATGATTAATTAGTAAGTTTTTTTTTTTTAAATTTCCATTATATTTTCTGAAATGAAATTTTCTGTGAAAAATTAAAAACTATTAGGAATGCAATAAGTGATAAAAACTATCAGGTATTGATATTTTTTAGACGTTGTTTACATCTCACTCCACAACAATTTTTTAACCATCAATGAAACAGCCATTTTGACAACTAAATTTTTCAAAATACCGACAATGGGAGCGGAGCTATCGCATGATTTGTTATGATATTCAGTCTTCATACGAGCATTGCATATTTATTTAATCATTCGTAATTGAAAAATAATAATAATGATAGTTATTACTACCAGTATTATTAATTATGATAATAATTAATATTATTTATGTGCAACAAAAAAAAAACAAAAAAATAAATGATAATAGTAATGGTAAATACAAAGTTGCCAATATTTCTAATGAAAATTTGTTTTTTTTTTTCATTCATCTCCTCGATTTTTGAAATGAAATTTTTTTGTGGAAAGCTTAAAAACTATCAGATATTTTTTAAACATTATTTGATAAGATAGTTTGATTTGATAGTAGAAGAGGAAATTTTCGTTTTACAAATCATTCAGCTAAATCATTTTCCTCATCTGAAGCTTTTGATTTTCTGATAAGGAAGAATTTTGATAATTAATCTTCAGGAAATCAGTGATAAAAATTAATGCATAAGCATTAAACAATATCATATTTCATTAATTTTTGAATATATGCACACACATATGATGAATTAATGATGGAGAAGGACGAGTGCAGAATAAACTACTTGTTCACGAATTACAGCCTGACCTTTTTTAGACAATTTTAGACAACCTAATCTTAATCAAATCTTTTAAAATTATTGATTGCAATACATAGAATTAGTAGTGTGAGAAAATTTTTCGAGATTTTTTTCGATAATATCGGCTTTTTATTGCGTAACGATTTCGGAGAATAGAAGTTTCAAAATTTTTGATAAAATCAAATATCATGAGAGTTTCCAAGCTATTCCCATTTGCTTCTTCCTGATAATATTGTAACAGAAGAATGAACCTAAACGATATCAGCATTTTCCATTCCAGTTGTTGGGAAGGAAGGAGATCATAAAAATCAGAGGATGACGAAAATCTGAATCGACGATGTGACAATTCCGCTCGATCAGAAAACTCCGCACATATTTGCGGAATGATTGACACAAAGGATCATCCTCCAACATTGAAGTGCGCAATGAGACGGTTGAACGCTAAACAATTGCAATAATCAATAAATGGATGATACATTCCAATTTTTACATCAATCCAAACACAATGATACAATAAAACATTTAAATTTAGAAGCATTTAAAAGATTGATGAATTCTTACAATGATAATGTAAAGAAAACATTTGCATTCATATGAAAATCATTAAGTAATTTATGATAAATAAAGAATATCTATTTGAAACAAAAAGGAAAATAGTGTAAAAGAAAGAAAATTAATTTAGAATTTATATTATATTCTTAAATAATTTGGTATTGTTAAATCAAAAAATATTCATTTAAAATTGAATGATCACTAATTTCATATAGCAAACTTTAGGAGATGAATTAAGAAATAGAATAGATGTAGGAGAGGGAGAGATTAGAAGAAGGAAACATTATTTGATCAATATGATTAAAAAAAAAGTTGGATTGCAACAGGAATTGTCACACTGTTCGCTATACTGATCAATATGTTGTGTAACTGAAAGCTCTGTCGCTTAACTTTGTCTCTTTCATGCATTCATTCATTATTATTCGCACAATCATGCAAAATCTTCAATGGAAAGAAATGATGAATGAGTTAAACAGAACAAATGGATGGAAAAGAGAAGAATGGAATTACGACACGATGACCTATTTTGGAACCATTTTTACGCATACTTAAAAATTTTTCCAAAAAAAGATAAAAAGTAAAGTAGTATTTGAAAAATTACTCATGTGACAAAATCTCAGTGAAATTTTTGACTTGAAAAAAAAAAATGTAATATATCCATCCCATTCGCTTGCTGCAATAAGGTTAAAAGTAAGTTATTTCACTCATTCTACAATAACTAATTAGTTTAGAATATTGGAATTTGATTCAAACAATGCTAATTAAATTTATATATTGAAAGAAAAAAAAAATGGAAAACTTGGTATACAGCCTTTTCGCTATGTCAAGAATATCAATTTGTTGGATGAAATGAGGAAGGGAGAAAATATAGGCTTTCAAATTTATCAAAGCCTATTTCTCTCATAACACACACACACACATACACACACATACACACATACAACATACATATACATACACACCCATACACACACATACACAGGTGCAACAAAATGTCAACACTTTCATGGCGGCGAAAGTCGCATAATCTAATGGTATTTGCAGTGCCATTTCGATCTTTCATTTCTTGATAACAAATATTTTTTATATTTACAACCATCCACATAGACGAAAACATTACTTTCGTTGATTTTTGTAGCCGAAACTGATCAAATCTTATGAAATGTGATGAAATCTTGTGAAACGGTACAGGAAATATTTCCATATTTCTAATAGCATGCTATCGCTGAACTCTATGAGAATATTACTAATAGATTTTAAAGGAAAAAAAATTCTGCATTCTTTCGCAGTTCAGAAAACATATGTCATTATTTCGTTGATAGCTATTAAAATTATTCAAATTTATAATATCAATAGATTTGTCATTGGACTGGAATAAACTTGTTAAAATTTCCAGTTATGCGAGGGAAGGAATTTATTAGCTGGAATTTCAACAAATTGAGTTGGGTGATGATAAAGGTTATGGAAATTAGATAAGTGACCCGATCAACTGAATTCATCGTCATATGCAAAATGACAAGGTATAGATATGTAATCTTCAATTTTATGCTTCTCTCCGCTCATTAAATTTTATTTATCCATGTTAATCATAGCAAGAGATTTCACCAAAATGATTGTAATATTTACTTTTCCCATTGCTTCTCGGACGAAGAACAAATAATTTAAGCTTGTTTGCTTGCGAAAATTTTTTATGATTGAAGTTTACCTTTGAAATATCGGTTTTTGCGAATTAAAGATTTAAAAAAAAAAGTTTAGCATAATCTCAATTAAAAGATTGTAACATTTGCTTACTAAAAGCTTTATAATTTATTGCATTCAATGGTGGCATGCTTCTTTATTCCAATTAATTCATAAATATTTTTGTTCTTAATTACAATTACTATATATTACAAGAATATTACAAGCTGAAATTATTAAATTGTATTGGTAATGCTGATGAAAATTGTCCTGTTGAGGAGCTCTTATCACGTTGTCGCCTATTTTTGAACCAGTTCGAAATCTGAAAGCTATATTTCTTTGAAATATTGGAAATGTATGACAGCTTATCCATAAAATTTCATAAACTTATAGTGTCGTGAAGTTATGTACCAAAATCTAACTTTTGTAATAAAAATAATTTTCTTTAAAACAGTAAATTTGATTCACTTATGAATTGTAGAAATAAATAAATCTACGTTGCAGTATGAACATTCGTAAATAAAAAATAAACAATTCTCAATCAAACCTCAGAGCACTAAAAACAACTGTTTTATAATTTTTAAGTTAAAGATGCTATTAAATTGTAAATATCCGATAGCTTAATAATTAGGAGGATAGTAATTTTACGGCTACAATACATCTTCACTACTTGAACTATCAATGAATGTTGTTCCGTGCTTTGCAGATAATTTTCTTATGAACTAATTAACTAACAGTACAGACAATAAAAAAGAATTTTGAAAGTTAAAGTTTACAAAAAATTAATTGTGCTAGAAAATACCATAAAGATGTTGGCTTGTTGTTTGCTTTTTTTAGGTCTACTATTTAAAAGAATATGAAAAATTTCACCTGTACAATCTTTAAATCGGTGATTCGTGCTATTTCTTTTTTATCCTCAAGTGTGGGATATTTATTTTTTTTGTAGAACTGTCGAAGAATCTAAAATTTCAACGATAGGTAAATCTCAAAAAATGTTTCTTAAAGAATTATTATAAAATCAAATTTGAATGTTTGATTTGAATTGCTAAAATTATAATGAGTTGATTAGAACAGATGATTTAATCTTATTTTTTGACTTCGTAAATCAGTTAATCATAACTTTCTAGCGTTTTCCTTAAAGCTGTAAATAGTTTCCTGCCCGTCCCAGATTGATCGAGGTGGTGGATGTTTCTTTCTCAAACGATACTTCTCTACAGCACCCAACTCCTTTTGTCGTCGTTCTTCATTCTGAAAATAAAATTTCATAATTTTTATTTGCATGTAGATCGAAAAGAACGGTAAATTCCAATACTCGTTCAGCTTAAACTATTCAGCAATTACAATTAACTTTAAGGTATAAGACAGCTAACCAGGTGTTTTATATCTTAACTAATCCCATAATTGTATCAGCTGCTGTCGTATTTCAACAATCACAAAACCAGCTACTATCTTGGCTTCAGATAATACGACAATTTAAAGTAAGCTACAGATGTACGAAACTAATTATTTTTTGCTTTATTGATGATCTGATAATTTGAATCATTTTGGATGCATTCCGTTCAATGTTTAGAAATAAGAATTCCATTACAGATATAATCGTTTATACAATACCTCAGCATAACGTGCCTTATACCATAAATCTTGCAATTCACTATAAAATCGTTGTTCGAACGTATTCGATGCTATCGTCTGAAGTTCAAATTCAAATTTTGTAAAATGATATCATCAAATAGCAAAGTTTACAAATTACTTGTAATTCATATAATATCATTAATAAATCATTAGGAATTGTTCAGAACAAATAGTTATTGTCAAAAAGCTTTCGGAAAACTTTTTCGTATAATTCTGTCAAAAGCTCAAAAAGCGATGATATTACTGGGAGAGCATTTAAGTTTGAGCAATCAACAATTAGGTGATATATTTAATTTAAAAGTACATAAATTAATAATAATCTGATGAAAAGGTATAAATTGCAAATAATTAAAGTATTAAAATAACAAAGTATGAAATTACAAATAATTAAAGAAAATGAAAAAAAAATAATTAAAGTATTAATATGGATGAATAAGCGAATGAAAATGAAGAAGGAAAGTGTACCTGAAACAGTTCCTCATAACGTTTACCGTAATAAAGCGCATAAAGGTAAGCACGAAGAACAGAACTTGAATAGTACCGACACCGGTAAAACATAACATTATGTGCATTAGGTTCAAATAATTCTAATAACTTTGCTCCATCACGAGCTTGATAGAGTGCTTCACAAATGCAATCTATCTGAAGAAAACAAAACAGTTTAACTACAAAACTACAATTAATTCCTAATTATATCTTCATATTAAAAAATCTCATTACAAGCAAATAATTTACAGTTCATTTTAGGGATTTGACATTTTCAATACTCTTGCAACTCCGCAATTCTTTTTTTTCAGCTATTTTATTTTTATTGAAAAAAAACTTCAGCAGTATCGAGCTACATTTTTCTATTTCTACAGATCTTTGCATCTTTATTTAGACATATAAGTTTACAAATTTCAATTTACCGAGGAAGTTATGGTAGCTAACTGAGAAATGGAAATTCTCACAATTCGATTATTTTGTTATAATTTAATTAATTACTCCAAAATGACGTTCTTGTTTTTCTGATAAATGACGAATTTACCTGATCAGATGAAAAAGCAGCAGCCAGCCGAAATAAGCATGGATCGTTCTGTTCCACGCTTATGTTTCCCATTATCCGTTGCATCCATTGATCGAATGATGGATTAAAATTCCTACTCTAAATGCTAATTTCAAATCTTTTGTTTTTTATAGAGCAGTATTTGGAATGAAAAAAAGTGATAAACGACTAAATTCATATTTTGAATTGAAAAAAAAATTTGAAATTCTTGAAAAGATGTAGAAATATTTGAAATGGGAGCAAATAACTAATAACTGATTTGAAATTGAATTGCAAGATTCTAATTCAAATTATTGAAAATTAAAATTTAAAAGGAAATCTCGCAGTATTTCTTAAAAGATAAGGAAGAATATCGCAGAATACAAGGAAACTTAAGAAGAATGGATTCATTCTCTGATTTCGCTCTATCCGGAAATAAATTTAGTTAACTCCGCCTTTGGTTTACGGTATGTTTATGGAGTGAGCAAAGATGGAGAGATATTGCTTGGAATGAAAAGAAATGTTGAAAATGAAATGAAAAAAAATCAATATATTAAAAATTATTATTAAAAATATGATTAAAAAACAAAAGAAAGAAAAAGGATTCATTGCATTTTTCTTCCGTTTTATATTTAAAAAAGAAAATGCAAAATTTCTCTCTCTCTCTCTCTCTCCCTTTCTTTTTCTCGCTTTGTTTCTCTTTAATTCACTGCCTTGAATGACAAGAATGAATTTTTCTCATATCCGTGATTAGCGGCACCTCCCAGCCATTTGCATTAATTGGCTTTTTTTTTTTGCTCTGCTAAGAAAGAATCATTTTTCAAGAGAGAATTACGGTAATTCGTCCCATCGTGCAATATAATTATGAATATGTTACTGCCAAATGCATCAGGCGGAATACGCTGAAATATGAGCCTTTTTCTTTTTCAGGGATATGCACATGTAATCAGGAAGTCAATGCTATTAATTTATTGCTGAATTTGTGAGAAAAATAAAGGAACGAAACTTTTGTGAGATTATCTCTGATGCGAAACATTTTCCCATTTTTTCTGCTATACTTCAATTTTTTCATTTCAAACTATTTCTGAAATTTTTTTATCGTTTTAATGAACTTTGAAATGATTTGAGTATATTTCATTTGTTTTCAGAAAAGTTTAGCTTATAATTAAATGTTAAAAATTTTCTTCATATATTATATTACAACGATACCAATGGATCGCTGTTCATTATGCAAATGTTTCAGTTTGTTGTGGATGAACATTGTTTGTTCGACTTTTCACACTTACTTACCTTGGATGCACCTGGCAATTAAATGCCGAATAATGACTACCATTTTCTTATATTTCCTCTGCACTCTTTTAATTTCAGTGTATTGTTTATGCTGTAGTCAGTATATTACCAGAAATTAATTAGCCATAACAATGCAAATTACTGTGTTGTTGAGTGGAAAATAATATTCATTAGGTGTATATTTAAGTACTGTATGAATGAGTATTATTAGGTTTTGGCTAATCGTATCATCCATCTTTCTTCCTATATTCATGATAAAAAGTTAAAATTTTGACGAAACAATTAATTATGTTTCATTGGTATAATTTAAACTAAATAGAACTACAAGGATCGGGAAATGATCTCGTAAATCATAAATATTCTTTAAAGGTAACAATTTATGTCAAATGTTATTAATTTTCATTTTTACGTGCTTCTTTTATATCAATTTCTAATTATAATTGCAATTGAAGAAATGATATCAAATTGAAATTGGAAGAAAAAAAATCATCTATCATATTTTTATTGATTGCACCACTTCGTTTAGGTTTTATTTTTTTGTTATAAATCGCTAACAACCATAGTTATTAGTCATTTGTTTTTTAAAATGCTATGCTAACTTCAAAATTTCCGCTTATTTTTTGCTACGAGCAATTTCCTGAATTTGTTTACGGGACCCTTATCATCATTTTTTTTTCCAACTTTGCTATTTGTTTTAATTATTTCATGTCGGTGATGTTTGGCGTTGGTTATTATCTTCCAGGACTCTCCCTTTTTTGCCAATATGCAAAGAAGACCGAAGTTTACCGAAGAGATTATGCAACTCGTCAGACGATTAACGCTCTTTTGCGAGATGGTCAGTTGTTATTTAATGATAATTGCTGGACTTTACATTTTTGCTATATGAGGTAAATTGTAATATTTTTCAGGAACAAACATTCCTTGAGATAATCTCATCTTTGAGAAATTTTTAGTATCAATGTGATATCACACTTTATGATACCATAATATCACACTGAAATTGTTTCAAATTGCAATCAAATGAATAAAATGAAAGTTCGAAGTTAAAAATTATCACTAGCTCTTATTATGTAAGGTGAAATTTGTCATTTACTGATTCCGTATGATTACACATAACTTATAGTAGTAGCCTATGCATAACATTAAAAAATAACGCCTTTTTACGTGTCTAAAAAAATTCTTTTAAATGTCATTATTAATTCTATGAATATATTTTTCTGTAATGTATTTCATAGTAATAATTATATCGTTAATATTTTATGAAAGGATGAAAAGGAAGGATTTAACGTCAATGAGGAGCAAAAGCTATTTTTACGGCTTATCTTACAAAAAGTGCGATTTTCATGGATAATTTATTGTTTTGATTAATTTGCATTTCAGATGACCGATTCCAAAAGTCAACAGATGCACGATTGGTTCACTTCAGAAATAAGATAATCATCGTAAGGATATGCGGTACATAAACTTTCACCCTCTAATTGGCGATTAGCTTTGCTAATGGAGGGAAAGAGGGAGAGAGAGAGAGAGAGAGAGAGGGATCATCATTAGTTTTGACCTTACTCTTTCTTCTTCCTTCAGCAATCTCTTTTATAATTTCTAGAATAAAAAAGAACGAAATTTTTAGATAATAACGGCAATTTCCATATTTTCCTATTAGTTGTTGATAAGTGAGGCTCAAATGTGACAAAATGAATGCGCAGAAGAAATTGAGGATTAATTCTTGCAGGTGGCGAATAATGTAATATCCGATTTCTGAGGTAAAGTAATTATCTGAGACTGTTGATCTGGAACGAGCAACAGGTAGCAGCAATGGATAACGGAATTTCAAAGAGAAATTTGGCAAGTTTAATCGAAACCACTATGAAAAGTTGAAGAATCGAGAATTACAGTTAAAGTAATTTAAAAAACTAGCAAAGATGTTGAAGTCATCCTCAGAGCACTATAATTCGCTACCTCAGACTTTATTATGTTTTGAACAACAGTAGCGTAATACAACGAAAATTAGAATAAGTTATTTAACTCTGAAAAAGTAAGATTTCATTTCAAAGCAATATTTGCCTATTTCTTCTTACCGCATTTGGAGAAAGTTAAAACGGACATTTCATAAATAATTCAAATATAAGAAATAACTGTGAATTGAAATAAAATCAACAGCATTTGCAGATAAGATTAAAAAAAAGATTACCAGAACATCATACTGATATTTGAAACTATCTGGTCGAAAGAAAATTCATTTTCAATTTGATAAGCAAAAACATTTACAAAAAAGAATAATTATTATATTTTATATATTAACTTTCTGGAATCGACTAATCCAAATTTCCAAAAATAAAAATTCTTCAGGAACATGTTGTTTGCAATCACCCATACAAAGAAAAAAAAATATATTATCCTTTTATCTTTAATTTCATAAACTGAATTGTTTATGCGAGAAATTAAACTTTCTTACAGACTCATTCTACTGTTTTCAATCATTTATACTTTCAAATGATGTCATTTTTTGAAACTGGCTTCAGTCAAATTGTATGCAAATATCGAGGAAATAATATTGGAATATTACGAATATTATTTCCTCAATATTTTGACTTTTCAGTTTTCTAAATGCAAAAAATTACTTTGAATAGAAATTTTCAGTTTCATCCGCACTCGTTTTGAATGTGGTTTGTTTGCCTTTGTGGTTGACCTTTGGATTGTTTCACTGAACAAACAATTCGTCACAAAGAAGTTCACATATTAAATAAAATTTTCAACAGTGGCATTATATTTTGACAACCAAAATATTCAGCAGATTTTTCTTTCCATCAGAGGAAAGTGAATTCGCAAAGTTAAAAAGGATGATAATTTTTGTTTAATAAAGATAAATTGAAATATGCATGTGTTATATAAAATGAGAATGCTTGAACTTCAGTTTGAAAATTTGACTGACAAAAGAGAAAATTAAAATAAGCGTAAACATGATTATTTCAAACGAAAGTTGACAGAGAGTTAATTGATGAAAAAGATTTTAAATATTTCAAATACGCTATTTTGTGTGAGTTATTTTACATTTTGCTAATAACGAAATGTTTAAATGACTAATAATGCTGGCAGTGAATGAAAGAGACGAAAGAATTAATCGGAAAGTCATTTCTTAGAATATTCACTTCAATGACATATTTGCGTAATTCTAGGAAAAAAACTTAATCATTTACTAATTAAGCAAGAATCAAAGTACTCAAAAAATTCAAGATGAAACACATTATATTTGAATTTATGCGAAATCTATTTTGATCATTTACATACAAAACTTCACAAAATAGATGCAGTATAAAAATAGCACACGAAGTTTAATTACTATTACTTCAGTTTACTGTTTAAACCCTCAACAATAGCCACTCGATTCACTTCTCATTTATCTGTCGTTGATAATCTCGCAAACTATTAGTGATGACCTATTGGTTATCGCTATTGGTCGAGAAATTATACCTGAGAAGGAAAGCGAGAATGCCCACAGATGCTATTTACAACTGCTTTTTTCTTCTTCGTTCTGTTACTTCTAGTATTATTATAATAATTATCAAATAGGTTTTGTTGTTTGATTTAAATCACTTAATAGCTGTATCCTTGACAGCTAAATTTTGTCACTTCTTCTTTTTGCTTAAGCTCTTTATCAGTTCTGTCCACCTGTCATTTTTGTTGCTCGAATTAATGAGTAAATGAAAGTTTGTCACATACCTCTGTGTTTAAAATGGTTTGATTTTCTGCTTTGGCAATAATTTCGATGGAAAATTGTGGCAGAAGTTTTTCGGAAGTGAATATATTATTTGCTGCCCTCTTAACCTCATCATTCTCTCTACACTTCTTTTTCTGCATAATTTTCGTCTGGCTCAATCCTCGAGAAATTATATGCAAAATAAAATTCGATTCCCGGTGAATACGATAAGACTTTTCTTTCTCCAATCAACTAATTTTGACAACCATTCTTTTTCATCATGCATACAGAAATTGTTAATTGCGCCTTCTTCCATGATGGTCATTTCCTCTGGGCAGTGAAAGTCATTTTCAGTCTGAAATTGGACTAAAGTAACTAATTTCCAACAAAAATAAATCGAGCTGATAAAATATTTTCGTGCAAAAATAGTGCCGTCGAGAATTCTCACAAAAATTATTCATTTCTCCTGATATGTTCACTCTTCAATTTTACTAAATGCAAAATTATTTTGAATTGAACTTTCAGTTGCATTCATACTTTTTTCAATATGATTTATTGTTTTTATAAAAAGCCTTTGAAGTATTTCACTGAGTAAACAATTCGTCGTAATGAAATTCAAATAAAATCTTCAATAGGGGCATTATATTTGATTGGCGGTCAAGCTGTATCAACAAACTTTCTTCCGCATTTAAGCAAAAGAAGTAACACTCTCGCAGTGTTCGCAAAACAAAAACGTCGTAATGCTGGGAACGATTACATTGCTGGCGATATTGGCCGTCCTTGTTGATTCAGTTGTGGCATTCAATCGGTCAGTGTTCAGCGTTCTCTTTCGTCCACTCATACCTATCTCTTGAAGGTCTAAAACTCCAATCGAATACTGTAATTAGCAGATAAAATTGAAATTAAATACTGAAACAAATTAGCCGAGAAATTTTTTCTGGCCAATTCTTAGTTTTTTGGTATGGAACACTTAACTAAACAATGTTGACAAATAGCATATATGAAATTTGTATAAAATTAATTAATACACGTATTCTTAACAAACAAGCTAAACATGTACATATTGCATAAAGTATTGCATATTTACAAGCAAAAATGCATGTACACAATGCAGTTAGTACTACCCGAACGAATGCTATCATCGGGAAACTAACAAAAGGACTGAGTTCGAGATTGTTGGTGCAATTATGGCAAGAAAAGTCAATTAATGTTTAAATATATGTCGAGCAAAATAATTTTCAGCGAAATTCAACAGTTGAAAGCAGTCATAGGAGAATTTGACAGGGATTACAAACAAAACAATTTGACAAGACTTTCGTCCGATTTCAGAATTGCACTGAAAAAATATGGCGACGGTTTTATTTTTGTTTCCTCAAATTTTAAAATTTTGGAACAAAAAAAAATTGTTGGTGAAATGTGGTTTATTAAACAAAATTCATACATAATGAATTAAACTTGAAAAATTTTTGTATTTTCAGGACAAAATGGGTGAGTACAACATTACCTCATAGAGTATTATTTGATTGATAACGATTGGCACCCGTCGAATAACGCATCTCAGACGTGTGACAATAACTTTCATGAATTTTGAATTATTTTTATGATAGTTTTCTGTAATCAACTTTAATTTTTCGTTCATAAAAATAAATGGATGAATCTACGGAAAATAAATTGTCACCTTCAACAGAAAATCATCAACCGTTCTGCAAGAATTCCTGAAGAAAATGGAAGAGAATGGCGATGTGCAAACGATGGTGAAATTGGAAACGGAATGGAAGGACTACAAGACCTCTCTCGGTACAGTTCTCCTTCATTTTTATCTTTTCCTGAAACTGAAAACTTTTATTCGAAATATTAAAATTATTGTCGAATAATTTTCTCTATTTGTAGGAAAACATTATGATAAAAGCGAGAACAATTTGAGAATGGCAATATTTGAAAGTAACGAAATATTGACAGAAAAGATAAATAGAAAATATAAAAAAGGCTTGCTTACTTATACAACTGCTTTGAATGACTTGGCTGATTTGGTAAGTAAAGT